TTCCATGGTGGTCTAGCTTCAATTGACTGATGATCTCAACCGTTAAAATTATATAATATTCACAAAATCCCTTCTAATACCATCTGAATATTTGCAATTTGTGGATTCTGTACATCTCTTTGAGTATTATTAGTTCTCATTACGTCCAGGATATTTTACTTGACACCAAAGTAACATGAAGGTGATGAACAGAAAACTGAGCTAGTGTTCACTTGACTTTCCACATGTTAATGAAATTTTAAAGTTAATATAATCATTTTCCTTTTGGATATATCTTCCAAAGAAATGAAAAAAAAAGCGTATAAGAGGTTATGAATGATAAACATTTAAGCAAAAAGGTTTCGTCAATTCAAATAAGTCATGAAAACTTAGTGAAATCAAAGTCAACGTAAATCTGTAAAGTCCATCAACTGAGAAAGAAAAGTAACTGCTTCATAAAATTTTATCTTGATATCACAGGATTATTCTATTCAATGAATAACGTTTAGATGTAAATCAAATTTACCAAAGCATTTTTGTGATTTCTAATATAACTACTTAATAAATTTCAGTAACACATGATTTCTGTGATATCAAACTGGTTAGTGTACTATCCTAGCTCGAATTGTTATTAACAGAATCTCAGAAGATTAATTTATATGGATTTAACTGTTGGATTCTTTTAATTGGAAGTTATACTGTAAACAATTAAATAAATAAAGCAAATATAATTCTATAGATGAGTTCATGAGTCAATTAAAGCTAGACTTGGAAGCACTAGACGGTCGTTTTGTCCCTGATCCAGCACGCGGTGCTGAAATGCTAGAAGTTGTTGTTATGATATATTTCATCGTTTGGTATGCATATCAGTAAAATAATAAAGTTTACTGTTACTCACACATTGACCTCCCAAATAACAAAAATTACCACTGGTCGTGGACTACCAGCAGGTGTAAGAAATGCTTAAAGTATAATTCTGCAAGTTTTTCATTAGATCTAGAATTCAACAATCGAAAAGTAGCTCATAAGCTTTGAAATAAAATCCAACAGGTGACACAAAGAAAACGTAGATGGTTACCCCATTTCACTCAATGAGTTTTCGACAATGCTCAATACACAAGTGGTTTGTTTTATAAACATATAAACTGAAACTTTAGGTAAATTCATGAAATAATAAGGGCTATTTACATAGAAAATTTATCAAAGAAATGTAACTCTGTTTAAGTATTTAAAGCATTACAATGTAAAGCAAGAAGATTGAAAGAATGTTGTTAGGCGAAGATGATCATGAAGCTCATATAATGGCGAAAACACCAGATGCATGTTTTGTTGTGCTATTCAGTTGGAGAACGTAAAAATATGCGGTGGTTGAAGCTCTTGATGTCTGTAAACTTCCACAAATAATTTTAGCAGTGAGTAACGTGATATAGTTTGAAGTTTAAAGCAACAAAAAAGAAGTGTTCAATGTGAGATAATATTGATGTATCTTGAATATGGCAGAATAAAATCTGTATCACCTCAACTTACGAACTAACTGGACAAAATGGATCATCATTTATAAAGAAAAGAAAAGAGTGAAAAATACGACTGCTGATCGGAATTAAATATATTACTTTTTGGAATGGCGCCATATTTACTCGAAGTACTACTTCTTTTTTGGAGGGAGTTTTAAATTGGCTTCAGTTTTCAACCGACGCAGCATCGTAAACGGGTGTGACGTCAAAGGATACCGTTTCTTTTGACTTTCTCTATCTATAATTATTGAATGGTCATTATGTGCCTCCTAGATTTATCAGAAAAACAAAAGGAAATTTGATTTTTCCTAAACACGGACTATTTTTGATTGACATAATGCAGGTCGTAAATAACAAACATTCTATTATTTCTCCACTCAGTTTCAAATGTTCGCTATTACAGAGACAAATTTACAGGTCTTAATTCGTCTGAGCATCTGGATACATGATTCACCCAAAAATCAACACTAGAACGGAGATACATCCCACTGACGAGTTCTAAATAAAATAAATGATGTTTGTTCTCAATTCCATATCTAGTCACATTTTATCTTCTTGAAAAAACACATGGCAGAATGATCTACTTTTTCTGTTCCACACTGGATCCACATGCTCCAAAACAAACTAGTCAGAATTCGGTATTGATATGGAACAGTAAATGTGTTGTAGAAAATTGTGTCACTTACCGATTTCATGTCATATACACACTTTATTTGAATAAGCATTTTGTAACAAGCACAAAGCTCATCTGTAGTGACGTTTCTTTTTAATTTTCACTTTCGTAAACTTCTCAACCTAGGAAATAACGTCCTCCTTTTATTCCAAACACTTAGTCAAACTGAATTCTTTTACCGACTTTGATTTTCAAAATGTGAATGGCTATACCTACCAAATTCTGTTGCAGCTGGACGATCTAGACTTTGCAGATGATCTGGCCCTCCTATCGCAATCGCAACAGCAAATGCAGGAGAAGACGACCAATGTAGCAGCAGTAGGTCTCAACATACACAAAGGGAAAAGCAAGATTTTCCGATACAACACAGCATGAACCAATCCAATCACAATTGACGGAGAAGATTTGGAAGATGTAAAAACCTTTACATATTTGAGCAGCATCATTGATGAACATGGTGGATCTGATGCAGATGTGAAGGCGCGGATCGGCAAAGCAAGAGCAGCATATTTACAACTGAGGAACATCTGGAACTCAAAGCAACTGTCAACCAACATCAAGGTCAAGATTTTCAATACAAATGTTAAGATTTTCAATACAAATGTCAAGACAGTTCTACTGTATGGGGCGGAAACCTGAAGAAATACGAAAGCCATCATCCAGAAATACAGGTGTTTATTAACAGTTGTCTACGCAAAATACTTCAGATCCGTTGGCCGGACACTATTAGCAACAACGTACTGTGGGAGAGAACAAACCAGATCCCAGCGGAGGAAGAAGCGCTGGAAGTGGAGAGGACACACATTGGAGAGAGCACCCAATTGCATCACACGGCAAGCCCTCACATGGAATCCTCAAGGCCAAACGAGAAGAGGAAGACCAAAGAACACATTACGCCGGGAAATGGAAATAGACATGAGAAAAATGAACAGGGATTGGATGGAATTAGAAAAGGCCCAGGACAGAGTTGGTTGGAGAATGCTGGTCAGCGGCCTATGCCCCATTAGGAGTAACAGGCGTAAGTAAAGTACGAAATTCTGTGAAACGAGACATTTAAATAGTCTTACAATGATATTTGATATCAGAATACATCGCTGTTTTTTACACAGAAACTCTCATTAGCCCAACGTTTTACTGCTTTGTTACAACCTAAATAAGAAGCTGAATCTAAATACACATTGTGTTTCATCTAATGAATTTTTTATCAATAATCTAGCAATGATTAAAGTAATAAAATGTTTTGCAAATTGTTGCATAGTCCTGTTGTTTAACACAGTATTAAAGCTATACACGAAAAGTATAGAGATGGTAAAATATTCGTCTACAGATTGCTTCAAAGTACTACCAAACTTAATTTGTGAATGACTGTACTATCTGAAGATTTTACAATGATTATAACAGTAGTGCATTCGAATATGACATCAAAAAAGTTTCGCTACATTATCGACAACAAAAATATCTAACTACTACTACTAGTACTGTAGCGAACAGAACACGGGTGGGTACAACTGAATGTATTTGACACGAAATTACAGAGAATCTCAATAAAATCTGAGAACTATGTATTAAATCGTTAATTTGCAAAATGTCCACCAATTGTCTCAAAATGCCACAGACTTCCTTGTTCTTACATTTTCATACAAATTGCATTCTATTCCTGCTCTTGCTTTCTTGATCTTCCCCCATCTTCTGCTGCCAAACATTACATTTCTGCCTCGCACAATATACTACTTATATCAATATAAGTAGCACGCACCACATTACTACATGATTTGGTAAATTCAATTAGACAAATATCACTGTCGAAGTTAAGCTACAATCGAATCTTCAGAAATCATTCCACATACACAACAGGTGATGCAAATACAAAATCTAAATTTTATATACACATAATCCTAATACTCTCATGACCTGATTAGAATAAAGTGCCGTTCATCTAGCATAATCTATGCATGATTGAAAATTCTACTGTTTTTCCAACAAAAAAAAACATTTAACTAGTAAACTTATCATGAATGTATCGGTATCAGATAGTAAGTTTAATTAGAATCATAGAAATATCATTTATAAGTTAATTCTCTTGAATAAAAATACAAGTATCAAGCGAATCTTCACACTATTGCATAGTGATTTGTTTTCCATAGAGTTAGTAAAACATTGCAAAATAATAATGTTCAAGTTACTATGGATTTAAAGAGATTCAAGTCCCAACTTGATAGATATGTATGTTTCCATTTAATTTTATAGTAAAGAATAAAAGCAATTAAATGTATTTAAATGATAATTTCATCTGATTTTTCATTGGAATCTCTACATATAAATAAAATGAAAGCGATAAACTACGCTGAAACTACCTGATATGCATGATATTGAGCACTACTCAGTGATCAATCGATTGTAAATACACCTCAGTCCTACAAAAAGTCAGTTGGGTCCCGGATAGCGTTTTTGAATGTGAAACTGGGTAATACGGGATCGAATCCTCAAGAAAGTATCAGTTTCCTCAAGATTACAAGTACACCTTGCTAACCAGTGTCAAACAGCACGAAACGTTGGTTAAGGGTTTACCTGTCGACTACTATCAACTGCCATCTTATAAAGAAAAATTGTTCCAGACCTATAAATCTAATTACCAACATAGTTCCCTGATGAATTTCACAATGATAGACCGATAACTAAGAGAAAAAGGCAAGATGAATACAAAATTATAATAGCTGTATTTTTATTCTTCCAAAGACTACGATTTTTTAAGCTCATGTTCTCAAAAGTTTTCATTACAAGTGAGCAAAATCGTCAAAGGGAGAATGATATTTCACTAATTCTTCAGGAGTTACAAAAATTCGAATGCTTAGAAAAATATTGTTTATTTCGGAAAAGGAAATTTAGGAAATCTGCAGTAGTGGAACCAGTTTCCATTTATTCGGTGGACAAGATCTAAAGAAAGACATTTTTGATATAAATATGTATATCTGATAAGTTAAACGTGAAATGAGGAAACAGGGACTGTAATAAAGTATGCTCAATCCATCCAACCTATTACCGACTATTCACAGATGGTAGATATGGCCTCCGATTAAATTTCCATTGTTGATTTACAGATCCAAAAAATTCAGCAAGTTTCACTGTTGATTTTTCGAGATTGATTTCCAAACACTGACCTAGATGACGGATAGTGTTATCCTGTCAAGAAACGTAATTAAAGAACGGTAAATGTATAGACACTCAGTACAAGCATTTCTATATATGATAAATAACGATTTATATGGTATTCCAGTAGTCGAGTCATATCCCACCCAAACAAATCAAGCTATAATTTTTTTATAAGCTCATCAGGATATTTTCCATTTTACAAGGCATCGTAAGTTTGACCTTCGCGCTATTCACGCTGTTTTTTCAGTAATTTTGATCAGTACTCCGAAGATATCAGTGTTTAAATGTCAACGCATTAATCATTTGTCCAACGCACAAAAAGTATACAAATTTTGATGGAGTTTTGATCTCTGGCCTGGATGGTTTGGTCGTGGAGCTTTCATCGTTCTTCTGAACGACATTATCAGCACAAACTTCAGAAGTTTGACAACATCTGAGAACAAAACTCCAACAAAATCATCCACCTGAGCTACAAATCTTGACCATCTCAAAGCATACGAATGTTTTGCGAGAATTTCACTAGACAACTAAACATTTTGACAAGGAAACAAGTATAAGTGAAGTGGACAAAAACCAAACTACTCCAATTGACATTTTTGAAGTTGTTTCCGAAATTTAAGGGATGAGAAAAACACTGCAATAATTATTATATTATCAATCCAGGCGCTCAGGAAAGTGGCTTTAGTCACCATCTTTATTAAACAGGATAACAGTTAAAAATGTCCTTTAAATTCATAAACCAATTCAATTTAGATAAAAGAATTCTGAAAACAGAAGTGATAAAATAAGTATTAATACATGAAATTGAGAAGCATTGACAAATGCCACCTGACGTAACAAATGGAAGTGCTGCTTCACCAGTTGCTCTGGCAAAGAAAATTATTTTATACTTAACAGCCGTCATTAGGTTATTGTAAATTTTCGATACAATTTTTAATAAAATTTGGTTAAGTGTTTTATAGTACAACATACCTATCCATCTGACAGTACAGTGACTACACTTGAATGCCTAGATTTATGGTATATGTTAGAAAGCCTTCCAATGAATTGACCTTAGTATCCTCTAGGCTGTTTTTTGTGAAATTCCGGACGAAGACTTTGCTGTGAGAAAACGCTTCATCCTTATTGTTTTAAGACTAGATTGCCACATTCGATAGAGTAAAACATCAATGATTGTATACTGGAGTTCATATAAGGAGTGGCTGTCTTATTTTTATACCGACCGCTATTCCTAACATTTGAAAATCATATATTTGGTTTCATACGAAATAATGTGACTATAGTGACGACAATATCAACAAAACATTGTAATGTGATAACAATATTAAACTTAGTAGATCATTATTAAGGGAGAAAAATAACATTAGCCAGTATCGAATAGTGTCGCTGATAGGATATAGAGATAGACAAGTGTGTGACCAGTAAAATATGATGAAGTGTCTTGCCTAAATGGTGAACTACCGAAATTCAATGTTTGTATCGTTAACAAGTTAGGTTTATGAAAACTAAAGAAGTCAACATTAAATGTTAGATGTATACTGAATAATTAAGTTTGGAACTTATTTACTAATAAATCAACGGCTATTGTAATCTTTGTTAATTGTAAAGAGAAAGCCGAACCACGGTGACTATCAATGATGGCTAACTCAGCTAAAATGAATGACTTTGTATGTGTTCTGATTATTCATGGAATGTTCATTGCTTCGTCATGACTGAGATAAACACTCAACAAAACTTACCATTTCATAGGTGAACTCTTGACTTTCACATGAAGTTTGATATATGAGTAAACCAACACTACGATTTTCAAAAGCCGAATCAAAACAATAATTTGTTTTTCCTTTGACAATAACCAGAACTAAGACAAAATTTTCAAAAATGAAAGAAATAGAAGGTTGAGATAGGATTCAAAAAATATAAAAAAGTGAAAACATCTTTGGTTTAAGCAAAGATGAATAGTGGCTATCAGTGGAATCCAGAACGCACGTTTCGTCCTATTTCGGACTCGTCAGTTGGATGTACCTGCATCCCAGAGTTGATATTCACCCCAAGACTCGAGCCTAGTACTGTTTGCTCCAAATGCCATTGCGTTACCCACGTAGCTACTGAGTCCTGATAGCTACCTGCTTGTGCAGTGGGGTGAAGTTTAAATTCACTTGGTGTTGTTCTACTTGCACCTTCCCATTGTTGTTTAGGACTGCGATTGAACAGTCTCTTGTTTTCAAATGTGCGTCCTGAGCGAATCGCCTCGATATAGCCTTAAGTTACAAGACTTTTAAGCAAAAATGAATAGTGACTAGCAGTTATATGCAGGACGCACGTTTCATTCGCAATCCGCACAGGATGCACATATGCCAACAAGAGAATGATCAATTGCAGTCCTAAACAACAATGGAAAGACACAAGTAAAACAACACCAAGTGAATTCATCATTGATGTACTAGTGGATGAATAGCTAAAACATAATAACAACTGTATTCAAGAGTAATATCTTATAACAGCTAGAATTTCGACACAGAGGAATTTTTCGAAGAAATAAATATATTTGTACCGGGAAGAATCAATGTAGTAATTCTGTTGATAGAAAAATTCTTTTGAAAAAACCCAATTTGGATTGGTTTAGAACGCTGTACAGTAAAGAAAAACAACTAGTCCTTTTGTTATATTTTGGATAATGATCTGAGAAAACATGGATCATAGATTTAATAAACTTAGTCTTGTCATTCAATTCAAATAATTATTCAGTGAAGTTAGATAAATAAATTAAAACATCATAAAATTCATAAGATTTCATTCCATATGGCATCGAAATAGAGGAATCTTGTTTATTTAAATAACTTCCAATTAAATAGATTGATAATAAGATATAGACGAGGATAGTTTTGAAAGAACCAAACCATTGCAATTTATATTACAGTTATTGGGCAACATTGATTATATGGCTACATAATTTTTTTTAATGAAAAACTCACCACATAGTATGTTTCATACGTTGGTTCGTTACTCATTTTTGGTTTAATCTAATCACCAAACTTCTAAAAGCGTCTGATGCTTTTTGACACTCAGTGATTATTGGTCTAAATCAGACCTCTTTTGATGCAATCAGTAAATGTTCTGTTCAATAACTACCTTTTAGATCATCCCATGACTATGAAACACGGTTGAAAATTGTCTTTGTCTATTTTTAAATAATTCCTAGCCTGTAGTAATTCAACAATGAACAAAAGCATACCAACGTAGTATAGCCATCATGAAAGAGGAAATGAGCGTGATGAGGAGCAAAACTGTCAAAATTTTGGTCTATTAGGTGTACCATTTTTCTTCCACTTTGCTAAGCTATTCTCCATCCCATTAGGCAGTTGATTGGAGGTCTGTATCTTACACTTGTTGGTAGAACATGCTGACGAAGACATTCGTAGAGAAAACACAGTTGTTCTCGAGTGGAAGCCAGCCTTTCGGCGAAATTCTCCTATTTTTGAACAACGAGAAGCAAACTACGCTCATATGATTTTGAAATGGAAAAAAAACGTCATCAAAACCATCCATCTGAGCTACAATCTTCTCCGCCATCTCAATGTCGAAATTACAGTACAACCAGTAATAGCAAATTAAAAATAAGAATTCTAGTTCAACTTGAATGAATGTAATTGACTAATAAAAAGAATATGTAGCAAAAAAGGACGTATGAATCACACTTTTCATTGGACCAACTTTAATACCGTGATAATGAAGATTTTAACTAATGGTTATGAATAAATCAGTGACTTCATTCGAAATTTTTTTACCTCTCTGAAATGGCGAGGAATTGTTTGAATTGACCTACTTTCAAACCACATCAAAATAGAGCATTAGCTAAATACAGTGATTAAGTATGGTTAACCCATTGTGCTCACCCACTCTTAATTCCAGATCACGATCGCTCCTCCCTATGTACGTGTTTTTGCACATACATGTAAATTGATAGACACATAATTCTGATAAACTTCGTCTTCTCACTGCATTATCAAAATTTATCAAAGGGACTAGTTGTTTTTAATGTTAAATGTTTTGTACATAATCATTTGCTTTACTCATATTATTCATATTTGTTGATTGTTTTTATCTGTCATTATACTTTAGCTCATTTATGACCATTGAAGTACATGTAGAACAGATTTATAAGTTGTTTTTAAACTAACTACATGTAATACTTTAGTCATTTTAAACCTCATGTAAAAAGTGGATTAGACTTTACTTCAGTTTGATAAAGAACTGATTCAATGAATTACTGAGATTCTCATCTTTTTGAAGATAGCATATTCACTATAATTCACAATCAATAGAAATATGTTACTCTAATCAAAGGACAATATACTAAACAATAATTTAAAATTTGTAAACAAATGTATACAGTAAACAAGCCTACTAAATTACCTGACTACCTCCTTCTTTATGACATGGATAAGCTTCGATAATCATTGATTCTGGATCTTTATCCAAAGGCGATGGTGCATCTAAACAATATGGACCATTAACACCTTCAATCTAAAATAAATCAGAGTTAATCAAAATTATGTGAAGTGAATATTAGTTTTAGGGAAATTTTCTTTGTATGATATGACAGTTAAATATTGTATAAAAACTGTATACTGTAACAGTTCCAGTGCTAACTACAAGTCAATTAGAATGAATTTGCTAATGTCATTTGTGAAATAACGGAATGTAGGTTAAGATATAAGTCATACTAGACCTTTTGTCTACTGTTGGGAAATACACTGTAAAGTGATCATAATAATGTGTATACAATATTTTCATTACGGTATACTACGAAAAAATTGAAATACCCTGATGGATAAATCACTATAGATAAGAAAATCAACAAATTTTACAGTACTACAAAGATGTGAAAGCTTGAACTGTCGCTATCAAACTTAATCTGACAAAAAGGTATTATTATTCACTCGTCTATATTCTTGTGCATAATTCAAATGATGCAAGAAACTGGTATTCTTATTCAAATGTTTCCGAGGCTTTTATGTTCTTCTATGAAACGTTTAGTACGTGTTCGACTAGACCTGTTAGAGACAATTTCGTGGCTTATTTGAATAAATAACTGATTCCTTTGAATTTTTAGAGTTACTTCAACGAAATAAAAACACTTTTACACAATTTAACAGCCAAGATATAGTAAATTAGCTCTAATTTTGGATGCCAAAACATACGAAAGAGCATTATGTGACAATAAAACTTACATCACCAGAAGCCAAAGCTTTCAAAGGAATAAATAATTCAGGATAAACATAGGTTAAATATCAATCAAATGGGTGACATTTCAGTTTTTCTCTCAAGGCTTTGCGTTCTGAAACATCTCCGAAATCAATCTAAATCAGAGTAAATACAGAAAGAAGAAGAATGTAAATTGTAATAAAGTTATCGAGTTTTAGATGTAAGCATAACAAATATGTGGATAATATTTGTTAATTGGTAATAGACAAAGGATTTTAGAATACAGGGCTTGTAAGTTTAATTGACTAATTGTATATTCCATCGACGTTTAATCTGTGAAAATAAACTAAGAGTAATTTTTTCAAACATCAGTGGATTACGGATAACAGTGTAAGTTCAGGATGAGAGTTTCGTTCTATTCGTGAAACGTTAGCTTTATATATATCTACATCCCATCTTGAAACATTAGTTTATGATCACTTAACTTGTAAATTCAAAACGTTAGCATTTATGAATAAAATAATGAGTGTATGTTATTAATGCTAACTTATTTAATAATTGCATTCATACTTCTTGACAGTGACCATTATACATAAAAGCAGATGACTGAAACAAATACAATGGCGGTTTAACAACTTACTAGTTTGTATCCGATCCGTTCATGAAAAAATTGCTTGTAATCATCAAGCCAAACCTCAGTCAAACGAAGTAGATTTCGTTTTAATGGATCCTCTACATTAACAGACCAATTATATGGCGAATCACTACGGAAAATATGCCCAACTTGACTACAAATCATCGTTTCTAAACTGCCACCGCACATCCAAATTTGAAAATGTTAAGGAGGGTTGATGGAATGAATAAAAGTGAAAATCTTCGGAAGATACTAAGTGAGTGTTAAATGAGAATGATAGTCTATAAGCTAAAATGTTGAAAAGGATAAAATCGCATCCTCCAAAATTTTCAATCTCAAAATTTAAAAACCAAGCCTTTTCATCACGGTTTTACTTCTCATTATCTCTACTTAGCTTGATGAAAAATCCGATCAAATAGTCGTCGCATGAAGCCAAATAAACTAGAGTTTGGCATAGAGATAACTACTACTTTTTAACTAGTGTTTTTTTACCAAGGATATTATTTATAGAATGGGGTTGCTAACTTTTCACCTAGCTCTATTCCATCACTCGAAATTGGAACGGCAGTAGCCCATGGAGGCTCAAGGCGGAGTTTATCATAAATTATAAGTAGATAATAACGGTCATCATACTATAAGGCTCTTGACTATCATAGTTTTATTGTCTCCTAAAAATGTATATTCGTAATATAATCTATGTATTTCTCGATATATTTGAAGTCAGACGTAATAGTCAACAATAAATAAAGTGGCTGGTACAATTAACTTTCTACTTTTATCAGTAATCAATTGATCGGAATACATCACTTATAAGGCAATTTTGCATTTATTTTAAAAAGGAAAAATCTGACTGAAACATATTCCCGTTATCAATTATGGCGTTTCAAATGATCTTTAACTGAGTATGTTCACATTAATTATTAAGAAAAGCTATTATTATCTAATCCTAATAGTGAATTGATAGACTCAGCTCTGACGCTTGACACCACAGTGACCTTAGAAAAGTGGAGCATCAATGTCAGTCAATAATTCTGTAGTGGCTGTTTTATCATCTGAGCAATCGTTTCAAGGTGGTTGGCTTTTCGAATAAGTCCAGCGACATCAGAAATTGAACCCTCATGACTACCAAAAAACAGTAGATCTGCGTTTAATTCTTTCGGTAGTATCGTGTTCACTTACTTTGCTCCTAATGATTCTTAAAACCTATGTGTTTCATTGGTTGAAAAGCATGGTTTCTCAGCTCCCTCAAATAAATCCACCTAAATCAAAAACCAGGCTCAATAACCCGTTTTACAGAGTTTGGATAAAGATGAGAAACGCTTTAAGTTGTGACCGCTTTCTGGCTGCGTTATCCGCGGTTCTAACTATCTCTCAAATCTTAACCAAGAATTCCGGATTCCCATCCAAATATTCGTTTGCTGTAAGTACTACTTTCCTGCCTTTCTGTCTGTATGTAACGATTAAGCGTAATCTCACAGCATAGTCGTTCTTCACGTTGTCGGTTAATTACAGGTCAGCCGACAGTTTAATGAATCGTAGAGGCGCATCGGTAACTTACCTACGTATCTTTCATCCTAAACAAAGCATTACTTGGAGCGATAAATTTCAACACCAAAACATCAGTCTGAATGTAAATGATATATCTAAATTAGATTTGGACAGACCCAAACACAACATCAAACGCTTTATTTGAGCATTTAAGTCATACGATTTAGTGGTGAACTATGCCAAGATGGACATTGGTTTCGGGCACAAATAGATTGAGTAAGTCTGAACACCTTTATAGTTGTAACTTGTTGGCTGTGGAACTCCCTACTCAAAGTGGCAGTAGTGATACCCTATGGAGGGTCTTTTGAAAAAGGGCTCGACACTTTAGTTGGACTTTCAGAGTTACACAGGATTTATTTGGCCACTTGTTTCATAGTGATTTTTCAGTTAAGTTCCGAAGATATGAAACAACAAGTTTGGCTCTCCGTCATAGGAGAAATCAATTAACAACTATCAAGCAGTGAATTTTAAATGATGAGTTCGCTACTTCTTCCATACAAAGTTTAAGGCCAGATTGAAGGCACTTTTAAAGGGATGAAGCGAATTCCACAGCTCAGAATGAGTGATTTCCTACGGAACTCTGCCTGTGTCTCCAAAGAGCTTGACGAAGTGCGGCGCGATGATGGGGTCAACGTTTTTTCTGGTCAATAACATACGGCGTCAAAGCATTTTCCCTATAGAGTTTATCCAACACAACAACAATGAACTCCAGCGTTTGCATCTGGGTTAAGTAGGCCCACTTTGGTGACTCTTAGGTTCAAAGCAATGAGCCCCAAAATGCGTGCGATATTTAGACGGTCGAAGTTGTTAGGATTACAAATCACAATTCAGAATAATGTGAATCATACTTTGGACCATGAACTAAGATAATCATTTATACTGTCAAAAGTATACTGTGCGGCTAGCCCAACGAAATATAAAGAAGGTCAAAGCGAAAAAATATCCCATTACGTATACATGTTGGCATTGTGTAACATAACAGAAGTCATGATAAAGTTTACGTGCATAGAAATTATTCGCCCCAACCACGGGTTATCAGACTTACTATCACTTGTATTACCTGGAAACAATGCACCAGCAACAAACCACAAATGGCCGAAGACTGAACTTGTTAATTCTGACCCGTCTGTGTGCAACAACTCAGAGGCTAACCAGCAGCATCGTTTACAAATGATATTCAACAAACAGAGCGGCTATTCGTGGAGGTCGTTCCAATGTCGGTTTTCGTTTCAGTTTTGAAAGGACGGGAGGCTTGATAGTTTGTGTCAGTCGTGGCAATGGTAGTCTCTCAGTTGATCCAACTTTTTTTCAAAGAGTCGACGGATGGAGCCTCAACCACGTGCTGAATTCCACTCGTTCATGATTCGATGGGAAAGTCGATAGTCAACTGACAAGTAACTTGTTCTGGGCTTGCGAACTTTCTTGGAGTGTCCTCGTAAATTCTCTGTTTTGGAAGACAAGAAAAATGAGGACATATCAGGTGCAAATTTATCACTAAGCAATTTGAAAACTGTAATTAAGTTCTACGATATGATAACGGGAATAGGTTAAGCTTGCGGTGGACCAAAAAGTATAATAACCAAAAATTAGCAATAAAGTTATTACGTCCAAAAGTTAATGTAACAATAACAATTTATAAATTAGTAACACAAAATAAAAGTTCAGGGACGTTACTTAAATCAGCTGGTTGTCGCGTATTCCGTTGAGTTTTGCTACCAAAATCCACAATTATAAATGAGTAATAACTCCGATGAGGTAAATGTGGACTCCAGTAAGTTTACTTGACATAGGATGTAATAGAAATGGCACAACAGTCTAAAATGTGCTTAATATTCGATTTAGAATGCAATTGGCTCGATAACGAGTGAGAATAGAACAAGGAGTGTGTGTGTAGTAGTGTATTTGTGAACAACCACAAGTGTGTCACGCTATGTTAGTATCACAACGGAAAAAGTGTTCAAGCTCACTTACAAAAACAACAGGTACAATCATTTAATGATAAATATACAGACAGTTAATGATTGGCAAAATAAATACAAATAATATTAAAAACTATTTACAAAATAAGCTTGTCAGGCCTAACTCCACATAGCTCCCCCCAGAGTGTCCAGAGGTAACACTGGTTATAATAACAACAAAAAACAAAAAAAATGTTAGGATATGATATTTACATACATACAAAATAATTTTTAGTTATAACCAACAAAAAATTGTGGAGATGGACATGACATATACGTTACTAAGATGCAGTGTGTTATCGTTTGAGAATAGCAGTAATGTAGCACAGCGTAACGAACACAAAAAAATGAAAACCCTATCATTTAATGCCTTGTTTGGCTAACAATGATAATAATGTGTAAAACTGTTAATAACCCAAAAAAAATTGAACTATTTATTATCGTGTACAATGAATATTTAATTACTCGATTCTTATTGTAACAAAAAATGTGACAAAACGAATAATTGTGGAAAAATATGATTATGTGCACTGTGAAAAAATTATTATAAATGGGATTGATAGTGTAGGTTCGCGATAAGTGTTTGCATTAATTGTCTTAGTTTCTTTTATACAGCAAAATGCACGTACCGCTTCGGTGTTTTTACAAGTCTCCCAAAACGTGTTAAACAAGAGGGTGTATTGCTAAGTTCTTCCTCTTCTTCTTGTTTCTTAGCAATTGATGGGAGTGATTGTTTGTTCGCAGTATTGTCTTCTGTGTCTTTAGGGACTTTGTAGAAAGCTGGTTTTATTCGGTCTATGGAAATTGTCTCATTGTTCCCATTTTAGTTGATAATGAAATATTTGTGAGTGCGTTTTATTACTTTATAAGGGCCTTCATATGGTGGTGTCAGTGGCTTTTTTACCGCGTCTACTCGAACAAAAACAAATTTGCACGTTTCTAAATGTTTATCGAGATGGACTCGGTTGTTGTGTTCTCGAGGTGGTATTGCTCTGATGTTCTGCATCATTTGTAGTAATCTGCTTACAAAACGAGAAGGGTCTCCTGGCGATGTGGGTTCATTCTTGACCAGTTGTCTTGGTAACGTTAATGTCGTGCCATAGACTAGTTCAGCGGCCGTGCATCCAATGTCTTCCTTTACTGACGAGCGAATCCCAAGGAGAACGAGCGGTAAAGCATCGCTCCATTTTGAAGAGTCCCGTTGTGCCATCAGAGAGCTTTTTAGTTGGCGATGGAATCTTTCGACCATGCCATTAGCTGCCTGATGATAAGCTGTCGTTTTGACATGATTTACTCCAAGAAGTTTAGTGAACTCGTGAAATAGGACGGATTGGAATTGGGGACCGCGATCTGTCGTGATTGTTGATGGTAAGCCATAGTTGGATATCAAGCGGTTGAGGAAAACTGAAGCCACTGTATCTGCCGATGTGTCTTTAATGGGGCATGCTATGGCCCATCTTGTGAACCTATCTATTGCTGTGAGGATACGTGTGAAAGACCTTGATGATGGCAGAGGCCCAACTAAATCTAAATGCACGCGCTGGAAGCGTTTATCAGGGATAGGGAACTTCCCAATTGCACAGGAGGTGTGTTACTGCGTCTTAATGCGTTGGCACAATTATTTAGTGAGCCTCGTGTTTACCGTAACTGTTATATTGTTTACCATTTCACACAATATTCTGGTTTGTTTTTCTCGTAATGTCCTCCCCCACTAAACTCATTGATTTGGATTCGCCTCCGGTAACAACTTTTGTCTCATTGTCGAACTCTACTGAAAATAATTTTAGTTCGGTTAATACTGTCTCGGAATTCAGACTCCCAACTTATGGAGCTAATAGCCCAAGAGTCTGGTTTGCCCAAATTGAAGCTTTATTCATGGCTAGAGGAATAAGATCACAGGCAACAAAGCATGCATACGTAGTCGGCGCACTTCCCATTGAGATTGCCGCTGAAGTCGGGGATTTAATCGACCACGTGCCAGAATCTGAACCATATGATAAGATAAAGGCAGCAGTAATTCAACGTACATCGATCTCAGATGAGAAAAGACTGCAACAATTG